ATGGCCTGGGGGCCCCCACTTTGCTCTCCCAGATCATCCCAGTCCTTTGAAGAGAGGTTGCCAGGAGAAAGGACAGGCCTTCCCACGTGGGGCTTCACCCTGGAGATGTGTGCAGCACCTACCAATCCTGCTCTTAGAAATGGCTCTTGGGGAAGTTGCTCTCTGATCAGACTTGGCCAGCAAGTTCAGAAAAGTGGATAACCCAACCTGGAACCAGTGGCTGGCCAGACCCTCCCTTGTTGAAGGAGACCCCAGGCCTCCTGCAACCTGGAAGGACTCCCCCTCATACCCAGACCCAGGTGGTGGTGAAATGGCCTTCAGGTTCCTCTCCTCCTCCTCCTCCTCCTCCAGGGGTTCTTGTGACCTTGTGGGTGATTGACCGGATCGGCCGCAAGAAGACGATGGCCCTCTCCTTCCTGGTCTTTGCCTTCTGCAGCCTCCTGCTTTTCCTCTGTGTCGGCAGGTGAGTCCGGGGGATCCAGAGAAGTGGAGACCCCCCCCCCCCGGTTGAGGGAAAGGTCTATGGTCTGGGCCTCTGAAAGCAAGCCACCCTCTCTTGATACAGGAAGGTGCTCACCGTACTGCTCTTCATCGCCAGGGCCTTTATTTCGGGAGGATTCCAGGCCGCGTATGTTTACACCCCCGAGGTAGGAAGGGAAAGCACCTCTTCTCTAGCCAAGAGCGGTGTTGGCGCTTCCAAGGGAGAGAGAGGGCTTGGCCAAATGACCGCCAGCGGCAGCAAGCAAAGGGGTGGGCAGGGAGCCTCAAGGTGATTGTGGTTTTCTCAACAGGTCTACCCAACTGCCACCCGTGCCCTGGGTCTGGGGACATGCAGCGGAGTGGCCAGAGTTGGTGCCCTCATCACACCCTTCATTGCCCAGGTAAAGCCAGGACACCTCCTCGTGGCTACTCAGGGTTTCCCTTGACCCAGTCCTGTCCTGGGATATCCCAATGAATCAGGTTTCCTGGAGACTTCTGAAGGGAAGCTCTAGCAGTACAAGGGCAGAGCCTGGATCTTCATGCTAGATTTTCTATAACCCCTTCCGATTCATGAGAGGTTCTCTAAGCTTCTTCTCATTCGCCAATGTATGTTTCTAAAGAGCCTTCAATAGCACAATTGTGAGGACACACACAAAGGGCTAAATATCATGAAGAGGTTGCCTGCCTTCTCCATTCTTCAGATATAAGGCAGACAGTTCCCTGTATTGGTACCTCATCTACCTAGACTGCTCTGAACAGGAAACCATAATCTTTGTCACAATATTATTGCAAAGTTCCAACACGCTAATCAACCGTAATCAAGATCATGGCTTGTCCAACCTAATTTAACCCTGGGAGATCTGACCAAGCCTGGAGGGTTCTTTCTTTGGTCTCAACCCTGGCAAGGACACCACTCTTTGCTGATCTTCTTCTACCTCCATTTCCAGGTGATGTTGGAGTCTTCGGTCTACTTGACGCTGATCGTCTACAGTGGGTGCTGCATCTTGGCAGCTTTGGCCTCCTGCTTGCTTCCCATCGAGACCAGAGGCCGTGGCCTCCAGGAATCCACCCACAAGGAGTGGGGGCAGGAGATGTTTGGGCGTGGCGTCCCCCAATCAAACTCTGGCTCTCAGGGGTGATCGCCCCGCCTGGAGGAAGTCAACACTCCCAACACCCAAGAAGTGCAATATCTCACTACCATCCTTGGCCCAAAGAAGGGATGGTCAACCTGTCCTGGGTCCTTTGTTGCTTGCATCTTCACCAGCCCCACATGCAAGGAGAGGCATTCCATATGGGAGTTGAACATGTGTGTGTGTTTGTGTGCAATGAGGAGGAATGTGACATAACCACGGAAAGATCTAGCCCCAAATTCCTACTACGTTTTTCATGGCGGACATAGACAACAGAACCTGGTTTTGTTCTTGTTGCCAAGGGAACTTCTCCACCTCACACAAACAATTACCATGCCTTCAAGGACTCCATCCTTCACAAGACATCCCATGTCTTCAACCTTGAGAAGCAAACGGGTTCATCTGTGTGTGTACGCTTGCCGAGAGTAGCTCAAGGACGCTTGTGAATTGATCAGCAGCCTTGCACTCTTCCTATCACCAAGAACTGTCAAGGCCCCCAAACCACTAATTTAGCTGCATCTCCTTGGCAACTGGGATTGTGAGGGTGGACAGGCATTCGGATAAATGCTGTTCCTCTCACTGATAGATAACTTCCTTGGATATTGAAGTCAATCCTGCAAAAAAAAGGGAAATTTGGAACCGCAGCCTAGGGTTATGATTGCCCCGTCTCCAAAGGAAGGTTGCGCCCAAGGAAACATCCACCCAGGTGACCCAAAGACTGGAGTGTTTTTCTCAGCAAGCAGCTAGAGGGGAAAACATCTGTAAGGTTAGCAAATGGTGCATGGTGAGGTCACTACAGGAAAAAATTCTCTCTTGAATATGAGGTTCATCCAATAAAATGAAAGGGAACAGATTCTGTCGGGTCAAACTAGATCCCTTCTTCCTGCAACTCATAATGGTGAAGGTTCCTTTGGGTTCATCTCTACGTTCCCCAACAGAGAGGCCTAAGAATGGGTACCTGCCCCAGTGGTGGTGATCCAGAAGCATCCAGCTTAACCGTCCTCTTTCTGTCACTGGGCACCCCACAAATGCCAAAGGTTCATAGGCAGAAAACGGGGGCCCTTTCTGGACATTCCTCCTCATTTCTCCATCTGTTCAGAGGCATGTCTTACCCGTCACGCCTAGCGGACTTTGACTGGCTCAGCTAAGGTGAAAAACATCGTTTGGACTGGGAAGCCTCAGGTGGTATTTAAGGAAGCTGCACTTTTATAGCTATGATGTGTGTGTGTGTGTGTGTGCGCATGTGTGCCAGAGGCTCATGCAGGCAACTTCTAACATGTTTAGGGCTAAGTGGCTTCTACTAAGATGGGTTCATTCCTTGTGTGTCCAATCACACTTGGCCAATCAAGAATTCCATTCTCTTTTGATGGGTATCTTCAGAGAACTCCATGAGTGGCTTTCCGGAATCTGGTTATTTCAAAACATTTACCAACTGCTACTTAAAATTGTAGGCAAGTTCTGTTAGTTGTGTAAGTGACTTGTACAGATAGACCAGCTTCATGACACAAAAATGATCAAAAAGAGGTTGCCTCTTCCAAACCGAATCACAGGCTATTTAAATTGATTAGATTTTCCTCTGACGATGCAAACCGATTTTGCAAGCTTCTGATTGCTGAGCTGGAAATCTGCGCTGTCCCCTTTCCCCCCCCTTTCTGACAATAAGTTTTGGCCTCCTCATATTCGAGGAGCATTTTAATACCAGAAATTCACCAACATACGTAATGAAGATAGGGCTCTAAACACACCAAGGTCTATTGGTGTGTTCATTAAAAAAAAGAAGCAACAATGCCATTTGACATTCAGTTGTGGTGTTGGGGACTCTGTGGGTTCTCCAGTTCTTTAACTGGCAAAGCTTTGGGCAGAGATTGCTGTATATGCTGTGTGGAATGGTATTTGTATTTTTCAGTGTTTGGGTCAGAGGGGTATTATTTAAGTGTCTGCTATGTTCGAATGTACAGTTTCCAACTGTGACGCGTGTTCTCAAGATTTCTGTATCCTGAGCTTCTTGTACTATATTTTCATCTGTCTCTGTTAATTACACACCATTAGGAAGTGCAATTCCATCCTGGACATCTTATGTTGAATAAATGAGTAGTTTTTCATATGGAGGAGAATTATGGCATTCTCACTCCCTCAAAAGTAGGAATTGTGTCCACCATCGGGCTGAAAACTCACCCCAGCTCCAGTGCCCTCAGTCTTCCCTGTTCTTTTCTGGAAAGTGGCAGCCGGAGCTGCAAAGTCCAGAATGAAAAACGAGAATCGGTGACAAACAGCTGGAGATGTCCCTGGTGTGTTTGTGTCCTGGAGCTGCTCAGAACCAGGGAAGAAGCCGCCTGCTTGATCCGGGGTGCTCCTCATCCACCTGGCTCTGCTGCTGCTGCTGCTGCTGGTGGAGATCACGTCCTTTTGCTGCCCCCTCTAAGTGCAAGGAAAGGTCCTCACCTGGATAGCTACTACTTGCAATGCATCCCTGGAGACCTCGTCAACTGCTGTATTTAGACGCATCAGGTTTTGACCAGCTCAGCAGGAAGCCCCAGGGGTGTCCAACCCTGGCCACTTGAAAACTCATGGACTTGAATTCCCCAGCCAGCAAGGCCTCAGGTCTTCCAAGTTGCCAGGGTTGGACATCCCTGAATTCATCCCGATTTATTCAGATGGACAATCGCTCTCTGAGCTGTGAGCTTACTGGAGTTGACCCTCACATACTTTTAAGTGATGAAAAGGAGGTTACCTGAGAAAGTAACAAGTAAACACAAATCAAGGCTCAGTCAAACCTGCTTTCAAAGTATTTTTTAAGTTTTAACAGGATAACTCCACTAGAAACCAGAAGCAAAAAGAATATGCATCGGGAAGCAGATGTAGTTGGTATTTGAGAAGAAAAAGCGGTAAGAGAAAGTTGTACCCACAGAGCAGACGGGACCAGCCCGGAGAAAGAATAAAAAAAATAATATTATTTTTTTTTCAGATGATTGTTTGCCTTCTGCTTGGAACACATTTGTTCTTCTGCTCCCTAGGAATCAAACCCAGCATCCAGGAGGAAAATTTGAGGTTTATGATCTGTAGTTAGGCTTGGGAATCTGTGCAATTGTTGAGGTTACACATTTTCCACCTGCAGCTTCCCACGTTGTTCCATCAACATTTAGGACATTTTGGGGGTGCCAAAAACCCAAATCAAGAAGGAAGAAAAGAGGGAAGAACGGCTTCACAAATCTTGGAACGCCTCCCCAAACCCAAACAGCAGTCTTATGCACTCTGTACACACAGCCAAAGTGGGGAGCCCAGTTACAAATATTCTTAAGGAACCAGACCCCCAAATTTGACAAGATCAGCTCCCCTTTGTGAGATGGAAGGAAGAAGAAAAAAAAAAAAACCCAGACCTACACAGAAGGGTTTTCTACACCTTTGCGCTTGTTCAAAGATTTGCCCGAGGTGGCTTGGTCAACTTCTGGCTTTTTAGGATCTTCCCAAAGAGTTTGGCTGCTTCCATGGCACAGCCCCAGTGAATGGTGAGCCCAAACCCTCCGTGACCGTAATTGTGAATCACCTGAAAGAGAAAAAACACGGGACCTTCGAAGCACAGAAGCGGATGATCTGCCAGATCTCCTGGAATCCTTTTCGTTCAGAAAAACGGCTACCTCTGATTGGAGCGTCCCCTGACGAAGGGTCTGGTATTCCAGCCGGACTTTAGGGCGCGTTGGGCGTAAGCCACTCCACTCCTCGACTACCTTGGCTCCCTGGAAGAAGTACATCCGGTGGCTTGTGCTCAGGCCCCGATGCTTCCGCGGGCTATGGGGCACTAAAACCCGGGATGAGCTGCCAGGGGGGCTTCCTTCTGGGCCAAGGGAAACGGGGAGAATGCCAAGCGTTCCTCGCACGAGCCTTGGCCCGTCTTGGCTGAGCGGATCTACCTGGAGGCTGGGCATCAACTTGCAGCATCCTTCCCAGATTTTTCTACGGTCCTCTGGGCTGTTCTCTGTACTCCAGTTCCCCAGCTGAAATATCCCCCCCAAGGTCACCGTGCGGCTCCTGCGAAGAACAGAGGGAGGGAGGAGGAGTCAGTCCTGAACGACTTGAACTCAGGGCTTCCCCCACCCTTCAGGATAGCGCCCCTTCCTCAGCCTGGGGTCCTCCAGGTGGGTTGGGTTACAGCTCTCATCCTGCTGAACCAGCACGGTCAGAGGGCTGCCCCCTAGAAGTCACCAGGTCAGAGGAAGCTGGGGGCCAAACGGTGTTCCCTCCTCCCTTCGATCCTAAGAATACTGGATCACTGGATTCCAGTAGGAAGAGGACTTGATCCCAGGAGATGCAGCTGGAACGTCTCTTGACTACGGTCAACTTCCAGCTTAGCTGGGTCCACCTTGACCCTTCCGCCACTCCGCACCGCCTATTCCTCACCCGGGGATGATGTAGGGTTCCTTGTAGATCCCAGAGTCAACGTCATGGGTGATGATGAAGTGTTTCACCCAGGGGGCCTCCACCTAGAGGTCCAGAATAAGCACGAAGGTCAAGAAGAAGCCGGGTTGAGCCCCGGTGCAGCCTGCCAATGCACGGCCCAAAGAAGCAACCGCTCTGCTTTCTCCTGGTTTGTTGTGACAAGCAATGGGTCCCAAAGAAGACTATATTTATTTATTTAAACAACTGCCCACCTCTGTCCGGCAAACAACACCGGCCTCTCCCTCCCCGCTTGTCTCTAGCGTTGAGGGCCTTCTGTGAAGGTTCAGAGCAGCCTTCCTCCACGGCCGATGTCCAAGTGTGCTGTCCCACTAGACTATGTCACAGCTTGCCTCCACCAGCCCTGTTGACCACCCCCCCTCCCCCCAGGCCTCACCTTGATGATCTGTCCTCGGCCTGGACACAGCTCAGGGTCAGTCTGTAGCTCTCCAGCACGAACCCCAGTACAGTTCACCACAACGTCCACCCCTTCAGCGGTCAGCTAATGGAAGAGAGTAAGTGGATTAGTTCCCCACCTTGCTTTGCAGAGTTAGAAGACACCCCCCGCCCCGCCTGTCCAGAGCGGTGCTTCTCAGACTGAAGTCCATACCTCTCCAAGCTGCCCAGGTGAAGCTCTGACCTAGAGTGACCACCTCCACTTGGTGCCCTCCAGGTGTTCTAACTCCCACCATTCTCGGCCAGGTCTACATACAGCCCAGCTCACCTCTTGGAAGGACTTGATTTTCCGGTGGAAGAACTGGACCTTCCGTGAGGTCAACCTTTTAAGGGCAATGGAGGGTGGTCAGCAGAAGAGTTTGACAGACATGCCTGCGGGGTTTGGGGGGAGGGGAGGCTAAACGGGACAGCAGGGCTTGGAGGCAACCGTTCTACCTTCCCTCCATCCACAACTAGTTTTTCCAAGATATTAACACCCCTGGGCTATGGAAGGTTGAGGCTAGCCGGTCATTATTAGCCGGATGACGAGGGTTCCAATGTATCTTCCAAGGCCACCAAATGGATTAAAGATTCAATCCAAGGCCCCAAACCAGCTTTCCCAGCCACCTGCTCTGCCCCATGAGAATAAAATCCGAACGACCTAAAACTCAAGACTTTCCCAATGTGGGCGGCAAGGAAAAGAAGAGCCATACATACTGGTTTGTAAGCCAGGTGAGATAGGTTTTGCCCTCCAAGATCAGGGCCGTGTTGAACCAGCCGTAGCTGAAGTTAGGGGGAAAGAAGACCACAATATATAGATATAAATACAAATTCTGAGAGTTGAAGTCCACCCATCTTCGAACAGCCAAGGTTTAGACACGCCACTCTACAACAGTTCCCGAGTCCAAGGCCAAAGAGGCCGCTGAATACCTGTAGCCGGGGAAGAGGTCAAGCTCCTTCTGGGTCAGTTTCCTGAACCCCAAGACAATATGTTTCCATGATGGATCCTGCAGAGAAAGACACCGAGGTAAGACAAGGGAGAAGTAGAACCTCGCTGAAATGCAAAATAAATGAGTGTTGAACCAGAAGTCTCGGCAATGGGGCCCCACCATCGAGAACTCTCTGCCTGCAACGCTCCTGAATTTATTTTCCCGCCGGTTGGAAACCTCTTGGATTACAAGGAGGGACGGAAGCGGGATGAGAAATCCTCAAAAGCAAAACTCCTGGTGAGTCTCGCAGCCCCGTCTTCGTACTTTGCTCCAGCCTTCCAAAGAGGAACCAGCTTGAATCGCGGAAAGAGCTCAGAGGTTTTTAAGCTGACCACTTACGGGAACCGGCCGTGTGAAGAGGTTGTATCCAGAGATCAGAAACAGCCCCATCTCCTTGGCTTCTGCGGAATCCACATGTCGGAGCAGATAATCAAAAGTCTCCTTGTTCCAGACCCTGCAGTATTAAATAAGAGAGGATGGGGCATCTTCCTTCCAATTTGAACTCGAAGGAATTGCCAGAGAAAAACCGTTGGCAGGTAGAAAGGTTGCAGAAAGGCACAGCTCAGGTGTATTTGAGGCAACAGTTGTAGAGGAAGAACCACGTGTGAATGTTGGCACAGATCCTCCTCCACCAGCAGATTAATTATAAATTTTTTATCAGGGCAGAAGGAAAAAAAATTACCTAGTTTATCAGTTTGCATTTACATTTAACCCACTGAACACTTTACTTTTCACCGAGGCATCCCTGAAAAACCAAAGGGGTTTGACCCTCTGCCCCTTGCAGGTGGATGGGCTTCAACTCCCAGAGTTCCTTAGCCAGCCTGGTGGAAGGTGGGTGGGCTCCAGCCCCCTGGTCCCCCAAGAGGCGCAGGAGGCGCCCAAGCGGCCCTCACCAGGGGAGTTGAGCGCTTGCTCTTACGTTTCCTGCGTGTTTCCTCTGTCGTCCAGGTAGGGCTGCCAAAGGCCAGCAGCCCCACTGCTGGTCGTGCCGGGGCAGAATTCATCCGCGTAAATCTCCAGCTGCAGCGGCTGGTCAAGGGAGGGATATCGGTCATGGATGCAAAGGGCTGTGGACAGACCCATCACCCCGGCTCCGATCACGGCAACCCGCATGGGAGAGTCTGGAAGGGGCAAAAAGGGAGACCATCTTGCACCCCCTCAAAATAACCAACCCCCAAGAAAAAACAACGAAGTTTTCTCTCCCGGGGCGGGGTCCTGGGCGTTTCTTTGCCCCTCGGACTTCTCCAGCCCTCCCGCCACAACTGCTGCAAATCACAGTCCCCCCAGGGAGGTCCTGGTGTCCCAGGCCAGGCGGGACAATTTTGGGTTGGGGCTATTCCTCCTGGACACAGCAGGTTGCCCCCTCCTGCTCTAAGCTTTCAGGGGGAGGAAGACCCCCACCCTGCAGTTTTTCACACACCCCCTTAACACCCCCTCTTTCCGTAACGATTGGCAATAAATGCAAAAGACTGAAAACTTTTTAAAAGCTGCCAAGCCTCTCTTGGGGGGAAAAAAAGCTAGATTTTGACCAATCTCAGCCAAAGAGTTTCGCCTCTTCTCTCAGTCCGGCTGGCCAGCCCCTCCCTCTGCTAAATCTCCACCGTCTATTTTCTGCAACGCCCCCCCCCCACACACACACACTCCGCGCCAGGAAGCCACTTTCCACTCCGAACCCCTCTGTCCTAATTTCGTTCTCACAACCCCAAAGAAGCCAAGCGAGAGGCAGAACTTCTCACCGGGACAATCCAAAGGCCCAGGAAAGTCTTCTGCTGTTTGCCCCACAGGGTGCAACTCCTGGCAGGAAGGAAGCTGCGAACGGGCTGATGCGTTGGGCAAAGGTCCCTCCGCCAGGTTAATGAGTCCATCAGGTGGAGCTCAGGTTTCTCCTATGCCAAGACACCTTTTTGGGGGCAGAGAGAAGCAAGGCGTCACTCAGAGCGCCAGCCAGACTCGGCTTTCCTGATCAGGAGTGACCTCTGGTGTCCAGCCCAGGGAGGGCCGGCTCCCTTTTGGAAGTTCTCTGCACGAAAGAAGCGTCTTCAACACACACCCAAGGAGCCAACCTTCTTACCTGGCACCATCCAGGTTGGTCTGAGGGGGCCGTCTCTGGACTCTTTGAGCTGAGCTGGGCCGACGTTTCTGGAACTCAGCTAACTTCCTTCTGTCCTGTCCAGAGCACCTGGGTTTACAACCGCAAGACAAAACAAAGAATCCTTCTAGAAAGATCTGCCAGGACACCCCAAAACCAAGACAGAATGGATCAGGCTTCCTTATCGAGCGAACGTTCCTTCCCCCGGGCTCCCCCCATCCATACAATCTGGTCAATTTCCTTCTACAAATCTTGAATCAATGTCTCGTGAATAATCCCCAATAATTATCCCCCCCCCCCCCGCTTATTTCCCTCCCCCCCAACTTCTCATCTGCACCTCATTTGCATCTGGGAAAATTCCCACAAGATTCTCCCCGTGTCTCTAGTGGCCCCAGAGAAGAGAGGCTGCAATTGCAATCCGGAGCCAGAGGTCTGTCTCACTGCCGTACTGTGGATTATGGGCACTATTATCAGTTCCTTCCTTAACCCGCTGTGGGGCCGCCTTCTGGAGAGAGGGGGCTGCCCCTGAGGTCTGGAATCCTCTTTCCCTTCTCTTTTGCAAGAGCCTCGGCACAGGTGGGGATCAGTCCCCACAGGGGAGAATTGCAGGGACTCTTTTCCCTGCAGCCAAGGATTTAGGCAGCTGCCAGCACCCTGGAAAGGGGGGACCAGCCGCCTGGCCTCCGACCCACCCCCCCAAACATGGGGGGGGGGGGGGGGGGCATTTCTCCTAAAACCAACCGGGGAAATAAGCCCTTTAGAGCCTTCCTTCCTTCCCATCTCTTCCTTCCTCCTTCCCCTTCTCTTCTTCATCTCCTTTCCTCCTCTAATTCTTCCTTCCTTCCTCTCCTTCTCTAATCCTTCCTCCTTTCCCTTCTTTCCTTCTTCCTTCCTTCCTTCTCTAGTCCTTCCTTCCTTCCTTCCTTCCTTCCTTTCCCTTCTCCTTTCCTTCTCCTTCCTTCCTTCCTTCTTTCCCTTCCTTCCTTCCTTCCTTCTCTAGTCCTTCCTTCCTTCTTTCCCTTCCTTCCTTCTCTAGTCCTTCCTTCCTTCTTTCCCTTCTCCTTTCCTTCTCCTTCCTTCCTTCCTTCCTTCTCTAGTCCTTCCTTCCTTCCTTCCTTCCTTCCTTCGGGAGCGATGCGAGGCCAGCGCCGGGGCCCTCGGCGGCAGGACCGGCCGGGGGTGCCCGCTGCTCCTCCTCCTCCTCCTCCTCCTGGGCGGCGGGTGCGGGGCGAGCCCTTTCCGGCGGCCCCCGGGCGCGAGGCGGCTTCCTCCGCCGCCCGGCAGGCTCCTCCCCGGCCGGCCTGGCTGCCGCCCGCGCTCCGCCGCCACCGCCGCCGCCGCTCCGGCCATGGCGCTGGTCACCCTGCAGCGCTCGCCCACGCCCAGCGCCGCCTCCTCCTCGGCCAGCGCCAGCGAGGTGAGCGCCCCGCGGACGCCCCCGCCGCCTCGCCCGGGACCCCCGCCCGCCTCCGCCCCCCCCCCCGCCGGGCAGCCGCCCCTTTAAGGGGCTCCGGGTCCCACGGGAAAGCCCCGCGGGGGGGGGGGGGGGGGGGGGGGCCGGGGGGGGGGCCCGGGGCCCCCCGGCGCCCGCGGGGGGGGGGGGGGGGGGGGCGGGCAAGGGGGGGGGGGGCTCTGTTCCCCAGGGCTCCCGTTCATCCTCTTGGGCAAGTTGGGATTAAAATCCGGTGGGGCTGGGAGGGGGGGAGGGGTGGGCCCGCTTTGCTGGGGGGAGGGGGGGCGCTCCCTGCAGGCGGTTTGGGGGTGAAAGGCGCTGGGGGTGGGGGGCATCTCCCACCTTTATTCCCAACCCCTCTGGTGCCTTTGCTCCCAGATCTTCTTCCTCACAGCCCAAACCCGGCAACCTTCGTCTCCCTGGGACTTTCTCTGCCAAGCCCTCTTATCCCCAAAGGGGGGGATCCGGGGAGCCCCAAGAGGCGGCAGGGGGGGGCCACGGTTGGCATCACCCTCCGCACCGCCTAAGAGCCTCTGGGCTGGGCGGGATTGCCCAAACCAAGGAGCGGAAGGGAGAGTTAAGCCTGGGAGACAGACAGGAGCCCCCCAAAGATTCTCCATGCGTGGGGAAACGGCCACCACAGGAGCGGAGGGAGGGATAGGCCGGCCCTTCCCAGCATTGCCAAGGTGGCTGGGGATGATGGGAGATGAGGGCCCCTGGCTGAGCAAGGGAACAAGGCTGGTAGCAGACACCATTACATCCCGCCGGAGGGCCTTAAGATGCCCCATCTGCCTTCCCTACTTTCCAGGGGCCTTCAGATAAACAGGGGGAGCCCCTTGTGCTCCTCCAAGCCCTCAGAAGGTAGGTGCCCCCCCCCCATAAGTACGTCTTTCCTTGCAGCTCTTGGGAAGGGTGACCGAGGTTTAATTCTTGCTTCCCCCCCCAAGCAGCTGGACGTTGGCAGCGATGAGGAACGCAAACTCAACCTGAGGTAGGCACAGACCATTCTTGCTACGACGTATGCGGAGTTTTTCACTTCCTGGGGAACTGGGAGAGTGCCGGACGCGGGGGGTTCGCCCGTTATCGCCACGTCTTCCTTGTAAACCTCGGGGTGCCGGGGGTGCTGCTTCAAACACAGCCGCCGCCCCGGGCTCACTCCAATAACCGGGGGAGCCCACATTTAGACGTGCAGCAGTCCATGCGGGTGCTGGATTAGCCCTCCCCGCGTGCTCAGATTCTGCGCTAAGGCCACATGCCCCCCCCAGGGCCTGGGGGGGCCCAGGAAATTCCGTGGAAAAGAATGGCGTTTTCAGAAGAACGATCAAGTTCCTTTTTGTTTTTAATCTTCCCGCATTTGGGAGATACAGTTTGAACCCTGTTGGCTATTCTGCACTATTTTTACCATCTCGGTTTGTCTGTGATGGTGGGGCTATCATGGCCTGTACGGAATTGCAATGGTTTTATTCGTACTTTAAAAACTGCCCCGAAGTGGAACAGCATGAAAGGACTTCAGGTGAATTCGGGGCAGGGGGGAGGAGATTTCAGGGCTCCGACGTTCCTCACAATCAGGCAGGCTGTCCAGGAGGCTAAACTATGATCTTGTAGGTGGGGTGCAGCCTTGGGGAGGGGGCGCCAACATTGCCCCATCGCAGTGAGTCCTGTCTCCTCACCGGCGCTCTCCTGCTGACCACCATTCAAAGTTCAGCTGACCAAACAGGGCATCTCTGCCAGGGGGAAACAGACTGGCACTGGCTGCCAGCTGGGGGAGCCAGCCAGGTGGCATCTACGATTCTACCGGATCTGTGGATCCGGTAGAAGCCGCTGGTCCCTCTTCAGAGCTTCCGTCCATCAGGAACGGAGGTGTCCTGCCTGGCACTGAGGCTGCTCTTAAGCCAAAGGCTGAAGGGCAGATGGGGGTGTTATTGCCCCATTTGGTCCGTGGAGGGCGCTCTCATTCCACCTCTGCCGGCCAGTTTGGGTTTTGGGTGACACCGTTTCGTCCAGGTTTTTGCAGGGACCAGAGTGACCTGCCCTGGAACGGCCTGGGCGCTTCCTAGCAAGCAGCCAGACTGACCCAACAGGAAGCGCTTTGCAAACCGGCCGCTTTGCAAGCCCACCGCTCACATTGCCGGCCCCAACGCAGATCTCTCCCCCAGGATATGACGTGGGAGAATAAGCTGCCCGTTGTCCATAAACGCTGGTTCCTTGGTCCCATCCAGAGCGGCAAGGCTTATCCTAAACAGGGAGTAAAACGGTGCAAGGAGCAGGATTAAGATAACGTCCAAAGGACGCCAGCAGCAGAAGGTTCCGCGGCAAAGAAAGTCTCGCTGGGGGTTCCTGTCCCCCCCCCCAATTGCCCAGCCCAAACCTCGTTTGGGGTCCTGACTTGCCAGCTGGTTCCCAGGCCAAGCTCTCCCCGGGCCACCGAGGTGCCTCCTTGCTGTGGTGAAGCCACAACCCTGCAACCTGGCCAGGATGTGAGTCAGCTTCCTGTTTTTGAGCCAGTGGGAAGATTCCGCAGCTTCCCCCTCCAGCAGGGTCCCTCGCTAACTTCACTGGCCGGACGATGACCGCTTGGAGCCCCTGGAGTGGCCGTGCAGGACCTCCAGCCCCCATCTCCCGTGCCCCCTTGAGGGAATGACCAGCAGCCCTCCTTCCCCTCCAAGCCCTTGGGGAGCCCTGGGCTGCACTTGCGCCCCCTGGGGTGGAACCTGGTTCCCCCAAAGATCTCGGGGGTTCGTCTCCTGGCGGATCTCCCTCCCTCTCTCATGGGGCGAATTCTGCAGGCTGCATCATGTTTTGGGCCGGTTTAATCTGGATCGCAGCAGGGCGGTGGGTGAGCTGCGAAAGGCCCAGGAGGATGGAGGAGAGAGGGTGGGTGAGCCCCTCCCCCAGACCTCCTTGCCTGGGCTTGGCATGGGGGGAATTTCCTGGTCTGTGGGACCAGCCAGCCAGCCGGCACAGGTAGAGGCAGAAACACCTGCCCTCAAGGTAACTATGGGTGCTTAGGAAGTGAGTCCTGCCCTCTGAGGCTGAACTGGGCTGCAGATGGACTACTCTAGCACCCCTTGTCCATGGCAAACTGTGCTAATGGTCAGGGAGAAGGCTCCCAGGCCACTTGCCTCTCTCGGGATCCAGACTGACCCTTGGAATCAGGCGCTGAGGCCCGCCCGACCCTCGGCCTGCAAAGGCAGAAGGGTTGAGCTCTGCTCCCTCGTGTTCTTATTTCACGGCGGGGTCTCTGCTGGGTGGGGGAGGGTTGGCTCTCCCCTCCCGCTCGCCTTCGTTATCGGCAGGGCTTTTCTCCCGAGGGTGCTTGGCGGTCCCTGCTTGCATCGCAATGGCCCTCCTGGAAAAGGACTCCTCTGTGTTTCCTTTCCCAAGCCCGTTGCATGATGGGAAACAGGGGGCCGAGCCCACCTCCTCCCCTTCCCCTGGACTGGTCCCAACACAGCCGCCTCCCTTTGCCCAGTCCCCTTGGACAGGCCTGGCCCCGCAAGGCTTAGAATGGGGATAAACCCACCGCTTGTGGGTTCCTCAAAAGATTTCTTCACCCCCCCCGCAGCCTTACCCCAAAAGAGGCTCTGCATCAGCGCTGCCGCGA